AGGAGAGGAAGACCTTTGGTGAGATGGATCGATTCTGTGACTGGAGCGGTGGGAATAAGTGCGTTTGAGATGGCTAGGTTGGCACAGGATAGAACAGCATTTAGAGCTCTTGTACATAGGGTCGCTATGAGTCGCAAGTGACTCGATGGCACATAACAACACAACAACTTACACCTGGCCCACATGAGATCAGCAGAGCAGGGATGGGCATCTCTATTTTTTTTTAATGAGATTTTAATGAAAGTTTATAAAGAACTTGGGTTTCCAGGGCATCTCTATTCTGTAGGCAGAAATAAAAAGTTCACAGCAGCAAAGTTATCTGCCTAAAGTGACAGTGGTGACAAATGCCAGAAATGAGACTTAACTCTCATCTTCCTATTCTAAGCCTTTCTGGTGCCTCCCCCCCACATAATGCCATTGCTCACTGTCTTAGGAGCCTAGAGGATGCAGAGTGGACAGAAGATGTCCCCCAGCCCCATCAGACCCACCTTCATGGGGCATGTCCTTTTATCAGGGCTCCGCTGGGCTGCCACCTCAAAGCAGTATGCCACGCGCCTCTCAGGGGGCCAGTGGGTGGGAGCCAGCTTCTCCATGAAGTCTTCGAGGCTGATGACCCGATGGTAGTCGCGGAGGGGCTCCAGTTTGAAGTACTTCTGATAGGACACGTGGAGCTACAGAAATAAAGAAGAGGATGTGTTAGAGACACTCATTTTAAGAACCCACACCCTCCAAGAATGCTACATAACAAGGAGAAACTTCTGGCCAAAGACATCAAAGTTGAGAAAGCAGGCAGCTTGGGAGAAGATAGTGATAAACTAAACGGTAGGGGTGGGGGTGGGGGGACAGAGAAAAAGGGAGACCCTTCACGTTGAGACAAATGACTCTAGAGAAAATAAGGCCAAAAATATAAGTGAGCAATTCATGGAAAAAAGAAACTCATGCAAATCCCTAGGACTAGGGATCCCTAGGCTCTGGGATAATCGAGATCAGACATTAACAGAAGATAACCCCTCGAGTCCTCTTAAAATAGTTTTGCTTCATTAGTAAAAATGTTGCCTTGAGCATTATGTTCCTTTAAGAACCATCACCTTTGGATGAAACTGACAAAAACAATTAGAAAGGTTAAATGAGAAGCTTAGGGACAGTGCATTTCTGTTACAGGGAGAGGAACCCGCCAGCAAAGGAGTGTGAGAAGGGTTTTGCAACGCAAAGGTCGGCATCGGTGTTACTGAATTTTACCTGCAAAAGCTCCTGAGCTGGTGTGTGTTTTGTTGGCCATCCTGGTTGTGCAGTGTGTTAGGTGCTGGGCTGTTAACTGGGAAGCAAGGATTTGAGCCCAGCAGCAGCTCTGTAGGAGAAAAGGAGCTGCTGCCATCCAGATGATTCACAGCTGTGAAAAGTCTACAGAGAGTCACCAAGAGGCGGAACTGGCGATGGCCTGGGGCTCAGGGCGCTGCATATATTCTCAATAACAGCAATGAAGTAAAGAAAATTCTCAAAGAAAGAAAGAAAACCAACCCAAACAGGAAGCTGCAGGCAAAAGATGTACAACCTTACTAGGAACTAGGGAGGAGGATGGAAAAAGATAAAATTGTAGCAAGTTATTACTTCTTAACCCTGACAACAACAGAAATGCAAAAATTTAGCTCTCTTTGTTGGAAAGGAAGTGGAGATGGTCTCTCTCCTGTATCAACAACATCAACTCATTGCAGTCAAGTCACAACCAATGCATAGCTGACCCTCCAGGGTTTTTCACTGGCTATAAATTACACTGGAATTGACTGTCCATCTCACTCCTAAGGAGCAGCTGGTGGATTTGAACCACCTGCCTCTGTGTTGGCAGCACAACTCCTCATCCACTGGGTCAGCAGAGCTCCTGACTCTGATCTATGGCTGGTATATTTTGCAACACCACTATGAAATCCAACCGGGCAGTACTGAGCAGAATTTAAAGCACTCCTTCCACCCCTAATTCTTCTCCGAAGAGAAGTTCTTGCACTTTGCCCCAGGAGATGCGTACAAGCCACGAAGGAAGAACAGGAACGAACTTAGAAGGAGTCACGCCAAGTGCACGAGATTCAGGACAGTGCTTCCCTTTAGGCCAAGGTCATGGGGGAAGCGGACAGGGAATAAGAATTCACCACAGGGGCAAAGAGAGATTTATCAGTCATTCCTTTTATAAAAGATTCCTATTTTCTTCTATAAACAAACAAACAAAAAAGGTGTTTTTCTTTCTACTAACAAAAAGAAATAGAGTAATAATGAGAAAATGTGGAAACGGTAACCTCTAGATGTGAGCCCATGGATGGTGGTAGAATTAATCTCTGTAATTCTCTAGATGGTAACATTTTCCTTAGAGCACCATGGGAGCTCTCTGGTGGACTAGGGGGTAGGGAGTGGTCCTGCTAACTCAAAGGTGGCATTCTCTTTGACAGCTCGAACCCACCACCTGCTCCATGGGAGAAAGATGGGCAATCTTCTTCTGTGTCTCTGAAAACCCAGTAGAGCATCAGCCAAGAGCCAGTTCTGACTCCACGGCAGTGGGTTTTGTAGATTTTTTTGTGGCTTGTCTTTTTTGAGTTTAGAACATTATGGAACAAAATCTAGACTTTACCAGTATTTCCCAAGCATATTCCACTAGCTTGGGTAGAAAAGTATACCGCAATAAAACAGTTCCAGTCAAATAGGCCTGGAAAATGCTGGATTAAGCTGGTTTCTTTACTGCAGGACATCTCAGGGCCAGAGTGCACTGGGGATCTCTAAGTTTAGGGGTGGAGATAGGCTAGGGAACTGAGAATGCAATTTCCCAAACTCATTTAACCGCGGAATCCTTTCAGCATGAGCCACTGGTGTGTCATGGAACAGACTTTGGGAATCTTAACTACTAGCAATGAAATAACTGCCAAAGATTTTAAGCAGAAATAATATGAGATTTACCCATTTGATGAAGCTGGTGGTAGAGGGAAGAACACATGGAAGTTAAGATTAGAGAAGAATTAGGAGGCTACTACACAGGTCCTATGTGTTCATTCAAGTAACATGTATTTAGTAAGTGCCTCCTATGAGTCTGAGACATGGAGAGGCATAAACAGGCTAAAAGACATAAAAGGAGAAAGAAGTGCAGGGGTTACGGCCTGAGCCCCCCTAGAAAGGAGGACACCAGGATGACCTCCAGGTTCCTGGCTTGACACTCAGATTGATAGAGGAGACATAAATTAAGTCTGGAAATAAAGGAAGATAGGTTTGAGGGGAAAGAAGCCACGTTCAGTTCCGGCTTCCTCAACCAGGGATGTCTATGAGATATCTAAGTAGATTCAAGGGTTTAGGAGTTAGAAACACAGGCTGGTAGGTAGTGGAGAACTCAGGCCACAGGTAAATTTAGGAAGTACATGGTGAAAGCTACAAAGTATCACATATGTGCAAAACTATATATTGTTATTGTGTACCATCAAGTGACAACTAAGTCATAGCTGAACCCTCCCTCCAGGCGGTTTTCAGAGGCAATAAATCACATAGGAGGAGACTCCATCTTTGTCTCACAGAGCAGCTGGTAGATTTGAACAGTGCAACTCCTTACCACTAGGCCACCAGCGCTCCCTTAAAACTATATATCGTGGTGAAAAACAATGTATACAACCTTTTTGTAAATAAACGGGTATAAAATTTAAAAAAAGTACAGCCCCAGTAATCTGAGTCAGTTACTCAATGGCAGTAAGTTACAGATATAAAATAACCCAGAAACATTTTCCAGTCACATTTTTCTTATTAAAAATATTATTAATATTGGGGGGAAACCCCAAAATACCTATATATAGTAAAACAAATATAGTAACAATAGCAACAAATGGTTAGAGTGCTGGCTCAGTACCAGGCTCTGGACTCATCATTTAACATGAATTTGCTCATTTCATTCTAAGAGGCAGGACTACAACCATCTTCAGTTGACTTATGAAGACACCGAGACACAGAAACTAGGTCAGTCACCTGAAATCACACAGCAAAAAAGAAAACAGGAGGGAAAGTGGTAACAACATTCAAACACCAGCGGCAGAAAGAAGCACGCCGAAACAGCAGAAGCAGAAAAATGCTGAGAAAATCAGTTGCTATTAAGTGAACTCCAACCGACAGAGACCCAGTGTGTGTCAGAGCTGAACAGTCTCGCATAGGGCTCTCAACGCCCTATTGTTTTGGACCATCGAGTCGGAATCCAGTAGATTTTCACCCTTGGAGGGGCTAGTGGATGTTTTGGCAGCAGGCTGCCTGGATTGTCTTCTGCGAGACCTCTGAGTGGTCTCGAACTACCAGTCTTCTGATTAGCAAATGAGCATGTCAACTGCTTATACCACAGAACTCCAAAAATGCTGAGAGATCACGGTTGAGGCAGAGGTAGAGGCAGAAATGGGGTGTGGGACGGAGTGGGGTGTCTCAGGAGCCAGGGGAGTAAAGAAGTCCAGGAGAGAGATGGGTGTAGGGGTCAAATGCCACTGGGAGGTCAAGCAAGATGAAGACTGTGAAATAACTCTTGTATTTGGCAAGTGACCTCAAACAGAACAGTAATAATAGTACAGTGAGAAGGGGGAACCCAATCAGGACAAGTTGAGTAAGACATAGAAAAACAAAGAGACACTTTGAAAGAATCTTAGTTGAGGACACAAGGGGAGGGAGAGCAAGCAAGACAGAGGAAGAAAGATGGGCTGTATATAAACGGCAACAGAAAAGGAATCAGAAACTGCCAACAACTTCCAGTTACTTCTTATCGTTGTTTTGTACCATCAAGTCGGACCCCAGTAGGTTTTCACCCTCGGAGGGGCTGGTGGATTTGAACTGCGTGCCTTCAGGATTGCAGTGCAGCTTTTTACCACTAAGCCACCAGAGCTCTAGTTACATCCTCTGGCGTTTTACAATGATGTGCTCATTTGACTCTAAGTCTGAGACAGACAACATTTAAAGCATGTCATAGTCAGGAGCCCATTTTAATCCTCATCCCAGAAGGTGGCAACAATGATGATCAGCCTATTCTAAAGAGAACAAAATTGAAGCACAGAGGGGTCGAGCATTCTGGCTCTTAACTGCTGTTCACTGCCTCTCTAAATACAGACATACCAAGGGGGACAGAGGCGGCGACAAACTATACAGAGAAAAAGGCTGTACCATTAAAACGAAGAAGTGTTTTGAACATAAACTTGTGGCTCCATTGTCACCAAGTCCCTTTTGATGCACAGTGACCCTGGACTACAGAATGAAGCTACCCCAAAAGGTTTTCATGCTGCAGCTGTTGGTCACATTTTCTCCCAAGGAGTGGCAGGGATAGACACTGGGTCAGTGGAGGAAACAAGGCTAACGAGGAATTACAAGGGTGCTGAGCATTAGGACTGTTAAAGGGAGTCTCCAGTATGAGGCACTAACCAGACTGACTGGGGCTGGGATGTTCCCAAGAAAGAGGAATCTAAGTGGCAGCTTGCTAAACTAGTAAGAGTTAGCCAGATCTAGACGGAAGGGGAAAGGCACTCCAGGCAAATGCAAAGGTCAGGCTTTCTAACAACTGAAAACTATAGGGAGGGGGTGAAGGCAGCTAGACACATGCTTATCTAGCACCAGGTACTGCTCTAAGCCTTTTATATACGTTATCTCCGTTAAAGCTTTCCTAACAACTCTGAGAGTTTTATAGAATGAGGAAACTAGAATTCAGATAAGTTAGGTAACCTGCCTGGAGGCCAGACAGCCTGTGAAAGGCAGAGAGCAGGAATTCAAATCCATGTCTGTCTGCCTCCAGGGCCCATGACCTACACTTGAGGCCTCTATCTCCAGCCCTGGTTGGTCTCAGTCTGTGCAGTTTCTCTGTCACAGGGTGAAGAAGCACATTATTAACGACCCTCTGCCTAGGTTTCTCTTTCAAAAATGATCAGAGGTTACTCTCACAGGGATGTGGTAACAGGGAAATAAGCAAAGCCTCTTGCCTTGTCAAAACAAGGCCTGGCATACAGCAGGTGCTGGATAAATGTTGGCCATTGTCATGCCAGGAAAATGATTTGTAGGTGGGGGTGGGACAAGCCTGAGAGTGAAAGGTAAAGCTCAGAGAAAGACTCAGGAGCCAAGCAGAGGTGAGGAGGGCTGCGGAAAGGTGGACAAGCCTTGGGGCCGGCATGTGGTACTCACGTTGGTGAAGGGAGGCTTGTGATGCTGGTATTCAATCCAGGGGGGCACAGCCAGGGTACGGTTCAGTAGTTTTGCAAATGCCAGGGAGCCCAAGAAGTGATCGGCCTGATTCCCAAAGCGCCCTGGAAATGGTATACTGGGGGTGAGGCCTGGATCATGCTGAGCTCAGAAAGGACAGAAACTCAGACATGATTAAAGCCAGGAAGCTAAGAAGTCAAATGACCTAGAAGCATGGGATCAAGTTTGGACTCTTGGGGTTGGCATTCAAGGCCCTTTAGACCCTGCCCCTTGGGGTTCAGTCACTCCAGATTCTTGCTGTTTCCCAAACATATTCTCTACTTCTCACTCCTCTACCACGTCTTTGCTTTCACTCTGCCCTCCATCTCTATCTTCACCCACTTGCAAATCAAGGGCCAACCCCAGTGTCTCATCCAGTGGGACTCTTCCATTAACTACTTCCTCACTTTTGCCTGACCTTGAATTTGAGTAGTTATGGCATTTTACTTTTCCTTGAATGGTCTTGCCTACTTCTTTGAACTGGCTGTTTCCTTGCCTGTGAACACCTCAAGAGCAAGGACCCTGTCTGATTCTTGTCACCCCAGCCCAGCGTCCCATCATTTCACAAATATTACTGAGGATCACAATCTGTTAGACTCTGTATTAGGTGCTGGGATGCAGTCATGTGGAGAGCGACAAAGTCTCTGTGCTTATGACACCTACAGTCTAGATGTGGAAAACACTGGGCATATAAACAAATACAGAGAAAAAAATTAACATTTGAAGGAAAGAAGAAAAATGCTCGGTGATGGAGAATAATCAGGATGCTGTTACTCAGGCTGAGGTCAGTGAAGTCTTTTTTTGGTGACATTTGGGGTCAGAAGGACAGGAAGGGGCTGGTTAGACTGAAGTGAAGGAGGTGTTCCAGGCAGAGGGGAAAGCCATGTCTGAGGAAAAGAGATGAGCTCTGTGTGGCTGCAGCTGGTAAAGCGGAGAAGCAGCCAAGATGTAAATGACAAGAAAAAAGGCAAAGTATGCAGGGTCCTGAAGGTCATGGTCAGGAGCCTGAGAGCCACTGGAAGGTCCGAAAAAAGAATGGTGGTGTGGTTCCGTGGTAGAGTTCTCATCTTCCATGCAGGATACCTGGGCTTGACACCTAACCAAGGCATCTCATGTGCAGCGTGCACTCATTCGTTGGTTGTGGTTTGCCTCTTGCAATGATATGGAACAAGTTTCAGCAGCCCTTCCAGACTAAGATGACTTGGGGAAAAGGCCTGACAATCAATTTCCAAAATTCAGCCAATGAAAACCTCATGAATTTAGGCTGTTGCACATTGGATTGTGGGGATATTGCAGGGCCAACTGCGGGGTGATTATGATTACAATAATGAACTACCACTCCATTAAACCTGCAGTCCTCAACCAACCTTTAGATTCTGCCTTATCGTGCTCAAGCTTATTTTCTCATTGAACATTGTGGAAGATACCTTGCAAGGAGCCCTGGTGACTTAGTGGAAACCCATATGGCAACAAACCAAAAGATCAGCGGTAGGAATCAACCAAAGACAGGCGAGCTCCACCTGTAATGGTTTACAGCCTTGGATATCCGAAAGCAGGTCCTTATGAGTGGAACAGACTTGCCAGCTATAGGTTTGATTAAGAGGCTGTGTAATTTAAGATCATTATTTATCTTTTCTCCTCTGTCCTCTTCCCCCACTAGTTTTATTCACCGCTATATCCCCGGCTCAGAAGCAGTTCCCAGCACAGACAGGCACTCCATAAATACTTGTTGAATGAATGAAAGAATTCCTGGAGCCAGAGTGGGTAAGCAACATCAAGTCCTTCCCCACCAGCTTCATTTACTAGACTCAGGGCGGCCTTGGACCATAGCTCCGCCCATCACCGGCTGCAGCTCCTAGAAGGAGATATACAGGCTCTCTCGGCCTCGGTTTTCTCATCTGTAAAATGGAAGACTGGACATGGTGACCCCTCAGTGCCCCTGCAACTGGTGCCAAAATATGAGCATGCCTTGTCCCCGTGCTGGGGTTCCCTCCTGGATCTGTTAAGGCGTCACTGGCCGTCTCGGAGAAGTGGTTTCTCCTTTCCCGGCCTCAGTTTCCCCGTGTAGAGGGCTCGGGAGGCCTTACCCATGCAAGGGCAGTAGAGCAGGTAACCGGCCGGATCCCAGGAGCCCACGGGCAGCCCAGGGAGAGGCAAAATCAGCAGCAGGAGGGACAAAAGCAGCGGCAGAGGCGGCGGTGCCCACGCGGCGGCGCCCATGTCGGCTGCGGAGCCCAAGCGCGCCGCGACCCGGAGGCGGGGAGAGGAGGGAGCGAGCGTCCGCCCCGCTCCCGGCGGCCCCCGCGCGCTGCCC